CATCATAATATATCACTGTTTACTTGTCTATCTCGACGAACCTTGCATGCCAAATCGAAACAATGACTCATTTGCCATCCATTAAGTTCAATAAATTGCTCAGCGACAATTTCTAAATCAGTTCTTAGGATATTAACGAATCGTTTTTGTTACGCGAACATTCTTCACAATCGTAACTAAGGATAAGCCGGAATGACTGGTGAAGTTAGATCACGAAAATTGTGCAGATCATATAGATTCTACGAAATGAATGATGGATCTTAACCTAGCCTCGGTAAAAATATTCATATTATTAAAGGTGATGATGAAAATGGTGTGCTGTCACCATGATGATCCTTACCTGGAAAATAATTCTGAGGTTTTTTATTGAGGCAAATGAAGTTGTGTACAGTGTACGAAAACGATATTGTCAAGGAAGTAATCGTTGTAAATCCACCATTCTTTTCTTCTCTTGTAACTTAGATATGATTAACGTTTCAGTTCCAAGAACGAAACTGAAACATTAATTATATCTAAGTTACGAGAGAAGAACTAGCTAACAAGTAGAAGCTCTGAAGCTAAAATACTATCATAAGTCAAAGTGCAAGCAAAAAGAGTATAATGATTAGCGGAGTGATAAGATAAGAAGGCAGTAGGTGAAAGGCGAAGAAATGCTGGATATTTATCAGTCGGTATTTAGTCATTTCTTGCAATCATTTTTTTGAGGAAGATGAGCGATTGTTCAAGCTACCAATTCTGACCAAGCTTTCGGATGTTCCAATTGGACACAGCCTTTATCCCCTGATCCATTGATTTCTAAGGAGAATCTCTTCGGATCTAGCAACCTGCATCATATTTGTAAGACGCAACGGATTGATGTTAAAAACTGGGACAAGGATTTGTCAAAATATGGAGGAACGCTAACTGTGGAGTGAAATGCAATGGTTTTTTCTGTGACCTACTGATACTGTTCAAACTTTAGTTCAACGACATTTTGAGTTGTCCGAGAAACGTTTCTTCGAGCCATTTCGTGAGATAAAATTCATGAATACGCAAATTTTCCTTCCTTAATATTGTTGGTTGGATGAGATGAACGATGTCGAAGGATGCCATTTGTTGATAACGAGTGGTATAAGTTGGTAATGAGTTTTCGTTGCTAATTAAAATCATAGTAAATCGATTCATAGTTCTTAGTTAGAATGCAGCAATGAGCTGACAAAAAAGCTTGAAAATAGCAAATAATACAATGCAGAATTGAGATATAGGATAAGATTCAGCGATTGTTAGGGTCAGTTCATGAATGAGTGCGATACGCAACAATATCCGATTTCGGCGTTCATGATTCATTTCAACTTATGCATATGACGATGGTCAGTGAACGTCAAGGTCACATACATCATATCGTATGCATTTGTAAATGACAACATTGCTATTTGAGTAAATAATTCGATGTGTCAAAACATTGAATCTTGATAGTCCAATTCAATTATGTATGCAGTCATTCACATTCTTGAGCAAAATTCAAAAATCTATATGATGAATGATGAGAAATAGAACGCAAGAACATCATGCAAATGGAGGGAGGGGAAGAGATCCGATGCACAGCTGATAGAATGAAATGAGTAAAATTTTAGTTGTTCGATTCGAATACTTTTTGTCAACTAGTAGTAAGTGAACGCAAAAGAATACCTCAAAGTTCTGTGTACCATTAGTTCTGCGGATAACACGCTATTGGTACAGGAGTTTTTTTGGGTGAAAAAAATGTGTTATGTGCGTTTCCAATAAAGATTGAAGGATTGGATTTTTGAGTTGAGAAAAAAGGGCTGACAAATGATGGATTTAAACGATGATAAATTTTGAAGCAATGGTCGGAAATCAGAGAATGAATAGTGGAGATTGTGTATATAGCAAACGAATAAATGCAATAGAGCGTTGGAGTATTGCTAGCCAGCTGGCAAACACCATTTTCAATCACCGGAAATTTGACGAGGCTTGAGATTTCGCGAATTTCAGATTTGATTCAGGTTCAGTCAGTGATGTTCTTGCTTGGCAATAATGTTGTTCATCACAGAACCGAGAAAAGAGATCGATCAAATATATGGTGTCGATCTCGGCTGTGCATAAGAGTAATGATCGAGGCGGTTGATTGTGATCTATAGCGTGATCGTAATCAAGCTTATCAATGAACGGCCAATACCTTCTTTCCAAATGTTCATTGATAACTTGTTTAAATAAGCTGAGCAAATAAATGAATGAGTGATAAAGGTTCGTTGAAACGATCCCTAGAAATAGCAATTGTATTGTCTCATTATGACTTAGGAATGTCATTATAGAAGTATCGCAAATACCTCACTTCGGTTCTTTTATGATAACTCATAATACCTTAAAACATTTGTTTTGCATTGTGATAAATGCTCCCTTAGGAATGAGCAGTGATAATATTGTGAAATTCGCAACTTCAGCAATTTAGCAACAAACGATATGGTGTTCATTACACATCATTTTATTTGATTGATTGCATAAATTTGTGCGATCACTCCATTCATAACCACCAATAAAATGCTCTCAACACAATCAACTGACTACCTACAAGTTTACAAACTCGCCAATATGAAAATTGTGCAAGTGGAAATGCGCAAGTGAAACTTTATGAAGTAAACGTTTGAAAGTGATGAGGAGATCGATCAAGATCAGATTGATTAAGGCGGTAAGTCAAGATTGAAATTGATCGCTTAAAATGAAAGTTGTTAAGATACTGTGAATAATTTACTATTGAAACGTCGAGCCGCAACTGGATCGAAGCCCGAACCTAATGAACAAAACAAAATTTATCATTATCGTTAACATGAACACACTGACGTTAATGCCTCCTGCTCGTACTCAAAGTCGACCTACTGAGTGGATGTTGAAGGTTTTCTCACCTGCTCACTTCGAAGATTGATTACTATTAGTTCGACGAAAATTAGACGCTGGAACAGTTGGGGAGTATGCCGATCGCCAACAACATTTTGTGTCTCTGTTAGAGGCTAATGATTGAACGATTCCATTAATTCAGTTGTGTTTATCATTGCCACTATCACTTCGAATGATAAACAATCGGTTAAAATGACCGAAATTGAGTATTTGCGATAGTGATCATTTCACCCTCACTGACTGGATAAGTGAAGACATGCGAAGGTTGTACTGATGATGCGATCATGATTAAACGTATCGATTCAGTTCGTAAATCGACGACGTGATTGCGATTAATTCGTAGGTGACAATCACATCAATTATAGCAATATTTTTGCTAATTCTTCACTGAGTGAAGAAGAATTTAGACCGAAAAATGAGAAACACAGCAAACTTTGTATATCACTTCAGCATTATTCAGCCAATCAATCAAACTCGATCATCCGCTCAAGAATTTCTATCGAATGTCGGAAGAAAAATGCTCAGGCTAAATTTTTACGAAATCTTCAATAATGAACTCAACAAAAACTGCAAGAACTGAAAGATTTCTAGCAAAGTGATCTGATGTAAATGACGATATTTGTAGATCAATAGTTGATAGAAAAGATTTGAGACTGTGAATACGATCGCATTATCAGCATAATAAATGCATAAGAAAATGCTCAGTGCGAGAATGAAACAGACATTCATAAATGTTGATAATCGATGATTTATCGTATGGTATTATTTAAGTGATGGATAGGGTGTATTCGAAAAACGATTAAGTAAATATAATGAAGAGAATTGTGATTGATCATTGGAATAGTTGTCACGTCGATTACGATCGATGACGGCAAGTAATGAGGATTGATGACATAGACTTGTGTGATAGCAGAATTTAATGAGATTTAGATTAGAGTTGATAAACGGATTAACGTGGTCAGTTACGTACCTCTGTGAACAAACAATTGTCGTTCTAATTCAATTATCGAATCAATTTTGATTTCTGAATATATTCATAAGACTGATATTTTCTCGTTTCCGCAATTTATATTTATGAAGCATTTGTGTAAGATAGTATGAGATTATAACGATAAGAAACATCGAGAAAATTACGGTCATAAAGACGGCATCAAAAAGTTGAAACATTCCGAAGGTTGATTTGCATACGGAATTGGCGAACAAAATGAGCACATGATCAAAATCGCTACGTGAAACACTTGAAGAAAAGAGGCAAATTCAGGATTCGAATAGCGAAAATTCACATAGTGACAGCAGTGTTTAAGTGTAAGCATCAATATTTCAGCAAGAAGGAAAATTCACAATAATGATAAGGTGATTGTTATAGGGAGGAATAAGTAGTAATGATATTGATGACATGCTGAAGCGAATGTGACCAGTTATCATTGAGTAATTGGGCGAAAACGGAAATTATTAATCAACATCTCAAAAATTTACAGTTATCAACGTGAAATAGTTTATAGATAGTTTATAGATTCTATTGAAGATTTTTGATGCGAATATTTCACGTTAACAGTTTCAGTAGTTAAACGACCATTGCGAACACATTGAACACTTGCTACTGAAAACATCATTGATAGTCATTGNTCGTGAGAAATATTAGGTCCAATAAATTGGCATTCATATTCAAAGTCAATGGAATCTGTAACATTCAAAAACATCGAGTCATTGCACATTAACATCTACTGATTATATGATGCTCCGTTTGATAGTGTAGAATTCAACAGTAACGACCTGTCCTGTGATTTAATGAGTACGAATAATAAGGATCCAGCATCATTCACTAGTTTATAGATTTATTTAGATCGCACGACTCATTCAGTAGATTACATGCAGGCTGCAAGACCTATCGCGGTCAGTATGAATAAATGAGCAGATAAATTTAATATGGAATATAAACGGATTTAAACAATGAGAATGTTCAGAAATTTTCTCAGAAACCAACAACCTGAAATAATGTAACTTTAATTCAAATAATCCTCAACATTTGAGTATCATCGTCAAAACTCGGCACTGAATATACTCTGAAAAACACTGAGTGATCTTAAAAAATCGACGACTCAAGTGGTTGTGTAGTGAAGAACGATGCTGGTTTGAGAATATGAGGAACGATGGATAATAGAGTAGTATGAAAGGTTGGGCAGAGGATTTGATTTGTGTTGCGAGAAAAGCGATTGATTGTTGGAGGGCATGATAGGATGGATGGATTGAAGCGATAAGCTGGTGCTGCCGCTTAAACGCTTAATTGGATAAATTGAGGGATTTGATGAGAGTGTTGAATGGATCAGATCCGCTTTGTGCTCATCCATCTCAATTGACGCCCTGTTGAACGATGTTTGCACACACCATCATTCATTATACTATCTATCTACTAGCAGTTTAGATCTACCTACCGATTATTTATATTGTACATAATACGTATCTCTATCACCTGGGTTCTTACCAATAGCACCGAATTCTTATCCCTTATCATTTTCAGTGGACTTTAAAAAACAATCAACGATGATTACTCTTTACAACAACAACAACAATCAACAAACTAATCGTTTGCTCGCAAAATGATCGATTCACTTTTCAAAATATTTCCACAACCAATTCTAAACACCGAAGAAATTTTTTTTCATATTTACAACTGATATCACCATAATAGCTGAGCGTGAAAGAATTGTTGAATTTCTACCTTCGGAGAATCTGCAGATGACAATGTCAGTAATCACTATTCCGTTTCATCTCAATGATCTAAACCGATCGAATATCGATGTT